TGGGCTGAATTGCACAAAACGCATGATCGCACCGGCTAGTCTGGTGCGCGTTGCTATTTATTCTAATTGTTGACTGCTTTGCAAAGGTGGAAGAAGAACGCGATCGACTGGGTAAGGAAGTGAGTCGACTTGAGCACGAAATGCACGTCAAGGAAACCGAGCTGGTAAATGTGAGAACCAACGCCGCTCAATTTGAACAGAGATGCGAAGATGTACGACACGATTGCGCATCGGAAGTTGTACGTAAATTCTATTTTTTCCGGTTATGTGTTCTTGCACTGTAGGCCACCATGTGCCGCTATTCGTGTTTTACTCGTAGGACTGCATCGTTTTGAAGCAAATTTATATGCTACCCGATAAGTGAAATCTTTCGATTTGATAATAAACTTCCTTTCTTCAGTGACTTTAACCTTTTAATGGATTGGGGTGCGGTATTTTTTATAGCTTTTCGACAAAATATTTGTCTCTTTCTTTGTTCCATCTTTTTTAGAAGGTATTTTTGCGCCGCGGGCTTTTTGTGGGTTTAAGTGAAGATAGAACAGCGCTCAGATTTTGTGTCAACATCTTTTATTCGTTCTGTGGCTAAATTTGTTATTGTTGCGCCATCTTCCGAAAAAGCATGGGCCGTTGATGTGGAAATCTTCAGTGATGCTGCTGCGTGCTAAGCTTAACTATGCCAGATCTTCATATTCCATGCTAATTGTTGCCTTCTCTCACCTACCAGATCGTATCACCTAATATGTGAGCAATCATGGCTTTTTTCTGGTTGTTCTGATTATTGTTATGTATTATTTCTGGGTTATCAGCAGGGGTTGAGGCATGTTCCGCCCAGGAAACGGTCTGGAATCTATCATGTGCTGGTCGTTTTAAGCGGTATTTCACTGAAAATTTTTAGCATTAGCATAGAGAATTGCAGTGCAAAGACGATGGCATTTGTTTTCAGGCAGTACTGCGTGTTGAAAACGATCGTCTTGAGGAAGAGCTGCGTACAGCAAATGCGCTGGTTGAGGAGCAGAAACAGAAACTGGAACTTGTCGGTGAAAACCTTGTAAAAGTAAGTCGTTCTTCTTTAGTTTTCAAAAAAATAATCATATTCATACTGAACGCTCCAGGAATATTTGCATCTGGAGGTTCCGAGGCACATTTATGGTTATCTCCATGTCCCATGTGACGGCGCTTTATCACAGTCATTGCTAAACTTAGCTATGTTGTGATATCTCCGCTTTAGTTAGTATTTGTTGCGATTCTTACTCATTAATATTTTGCAGTATGATTTTCCAACGGGTTAACGATGTGCCGATTTTTTTTAGTTGTCCTCCCATCACGCAACTTTTGTAAATATTAATGAAATTACCGTTTACCAGATGCTTTCTTCAGCCTGTCTCCTCGAGATTTATTTCTCTAGGTCTCGGAACGAGTGGCATTTTTGGAGCGTTGTATGGCGAACACATCGACATCCAGCGAGGAATACTTGGGCCCC